CAGCGGGGGGCTCTGGGGGTCGGTAAGGTGCTGTGGTGGCTGTGGGGGGGTCTGTGAGGGCCCGCAGGGGGCTCTGGAGCCAGGGGAGGGGGGGGATGTGGGGCTTAGTGGAGATCTTTGGGGGTTGTGGGGATCTCTGGGGCTTAACGGGGGGCTCTGGAGGCAGTGAGGCATTAGTGGGGGGCTCTGGAGGTGTGTGGGGGTCTCTTGGGTTGTAGGGTTGGTGGGGGCTCTGGAGGTGGTGGTGGGTTTTCGGGGTTCATGGGTGCTGTAGGCCTTAGTGGGGGGCTCTGGGGGTTAGTGTGGGTCATGGAGGCCTCTGTGGGCAGCAGAGGGCTGTGGGGGTAGCGGTGGCTTTGGGCAGGCTGTTCGTCATGGGGAGGGAGCGACTCCACTTCAGGATGGTTGATGGATGAAGGAAAGTTGTTGCATCCCCCAGTTCCTTTTCCTGCGTATGAGTACCTTGTTACAGAGCAACCCTGTCATTCAGCCACCTTTTTCCCAAAGTGTTGAAACCTCCCTGGACCTGTGCATATGCAGAGAGGGTGATGTGGTTATAGAGATAGAAGTACATGCTCAGTTTTCAGCCTAGAGCTTGAATTGTGGTTTTGCTAATGCTTTGGTGACATTAGGCAGGTTCTTTTGAGTGCGCTTTCACTGTGCGGCTAGCCATAGGCCTTCCTGGGTTGCTGCGTCTACTCACTCCCTCCCACAGATGTGTTCACTCTCAGCTGTGGCAAGTCTGGTTTTGGTCTGGGTTGCCATGGCTGGGGCCACAGGAGAAAGCCTAGATGCCACTTCTGCAGAGTTTGATAGCTTGCCCGCAGTTGGGTGGGCTGTCATTGCCTCCTGCTTTCTTCTCTTAGGCCCTGAAGAAATATAAGATCTCTCACAGTGCAGTGGGAAAGAACGACACACCGGCTCAGGTTCCTGCAGTGCAGGGACCATGGCGTGCAGTCCCAGAAACCAAGGCGATGTTCGGCTGAATGAATGCACATGCACTAGCATCCTTCTCCAGTGAAACCATGCTCCTAGTTTCCTTGATTTGTTTCATAAGCAGCAGTAATTCTAATGCCTTATTTAGGGGTTATATATACTATAATGTATAGCTATGTATAGTCTAGTCTATAGCTATTCTACATTGATTTATGGGAAGATGGAAGACTTGGTGTCTTTGGAAATTACAGTGGAAAAATTTTGCAGAGTACCTGGTCGTGGCCTCAAAACCCAGAAGTCCTTTTATAGTAGTTGCCTCACACACACGTGCAGAGACACCCCCTTGTAGAGCTTTTACCCCTTAAATGGGTAAGTCTCGCATGTGCTTTGAAGATGGCTGGACTCTTGCTTTGTCAGACTATATGGAGCATATGTATAGCTTGCTGTTTTTCTTCCACCATCTGGGGTGTTTATTTCTTCTGGTTAGGGAGAGAAGTGCTGAGAATTTGAGGATAATAATGAGAACAGTGAAAGTTAAACATGATTTTAAAGTGAATTTGCTTTGTTGTGTTTGGCCATCTGACCACATCTGGCAGGACAGCTGGCTGCTTTGCTGCTTGGACAAGCCTTCTACAATGAGCGTTGTTAAGGGAAGGCAATAATTTCTCATTTATTTATTGTCAGATTCTTTTAGCATCAGTAAGTGGTTTAAAGGGGCTTCCTTAAGACTTAAGAATTGTTGGGGGAGGTTAGCAGTAAAATCTGCTTTTCTAGCCTTCTCCTTCTCTAACTCCAGAGTGCAACGATTTTCATAGCTCTTACATCCCCCTGCTCTCTTTGAATGAGCAGTCACTGCCAACTTAGAGGCTTCGAACACAAAGCTCTGAAGGAGTTGCTTTCATCAGATAAGGTTAGGTGTGTGTGAGGGGCTTATAATGCAGCCTCCCTTAATGGAAAATTCATCTGCACTTTAAGAATGTTTTTTCATCCCCGGGGGGAAGAGATAGCTGCAGATTTTATTTTGGAAGAAAATTTTTTCTGCTTCTCATATCACTGCCAGTTATCCCTTTCTGAGACAACAGTAAAACAAAAGCATGCCTTGTTCTCAGACGGTGCTATTTGCCCAGTGTTTCCACAGTTTTTTTTCAATGAGCTTGTCAAATATAATTTTCACTTATGTTTCTCTTCATTCTTTAAAAGAAACTGAATAATTTTGTATTTCTGTTTAAACATATTGTGTTGAACACAGTTGTGATGTTTTCAAGCAAGGCCTAACACTCACCATAAGGGAGGAGTGCAGAAAATTATGTAGGTCCATCAGCACACCAAGAATGCACGTTCTCTGCCAGGAAGTAGCAGTGGTTCACATGAAGATTTAATTAGGGCTAGACAATGTCTTCAGATAAATGCCAGGTCTCAAAGAACAAAGATGTCAGAGAAGGTTGGGGAGAGCTGAGAGAGGTAATACAAGGGATTTTCTCTTTTCTCCTTCTCTTTATCTGGATAATGTCTGAAGCTAGACAGGCTTTTTATGTTAACTCTTTTGCTTAATGTGGGAAAGTAATGCTAGGATGAGCTCAGAGGATTTGTAATGGAGATGGATAGAGTCTCCTGCATCTAAAGTGCTGGTTTAAATGGCAGCCATGTTCCTCATTGCTGAAAGCTACCTGGTTTTTGGACTGGCTTATATGGTAGCCTCTATTTAGTTTCCAGCGGTCACCTAACAGAATCTGTATAAGCCATCACCATGGCTACTAATTACAAACCTCACTTAATTTTTCTTTAATACTTCAGTTGACCCGTGGACGCTGAACTGTCCTTATGTCTCTAGCAAGGTCCTCACCTGAGCGGAGGAGGTGGTTTTTGACAGGGCTGCTGTGTGCAAGGGAGTCAGCTGCTGTGGTGTGCCTAGGAGATTCCTGAACTTAAAAAACATTTTGCTCATTCCATGTTGCTTTTTACCTGGAGGTTGCAGTGAAGGGAGATAATTGCACCGTTTTACATGTAAGATTAAAATCCTACCCAGGATTATGTAGCAGCATCCATTAGTTCTCAAAGGGTTTGTGAGCAAACGGTGCTTTTCAGCATTTCACAGGACTTAGAAGAAGTCTTCATGGTCCCTTCACCCCTTCACAATGTCACTTTTGTTGGTGGTCAGTGCCTCCTAGCAAGCGTCCTCAGGAAGATCCCTGAGCAGGGGTTGTGTGTGGAGCCTGATGTGCTGCTGGTGATTTACCAGTGCTGTGTGCTCGGCGCCCACTGAATCCAGCAGCATCGGTGATCCTGGATGAAGAGCCCAGGGGGGCACTGGAGCTTTCACTGACAGCTTGTGGTGCATGGCTCTGGCCAGCTGAGGGGTGGCCGTGCCACCAGCCCTGGAGAAGGTCTTTGTGAAAGCTGGCAAGAGTCTAGAGGGAGGAATTGGGTGCCGCGGGTTTTGTAGGCTGCCGAGTGTGTCAGGGCTGACAAGATCCTTTGTGGCACTGGGTGTTGGCCCAGTTCTTAGGACTGAACTGTTTATTTTTTCCAATTAATACTGTAAATACAATAGACTAGATCCTTAGAGGAGGACTATTTTGAAGAATATTCCTGACCATTGAGGAGGAGAAGTACAGGAAGATGTGTAGTAAAACAGCTAAGACAGACTGCTTGCTATTGGGAGAGGGACTGACCTGGGGAAAAAGCTGCAATTTACAGTAGTGGGAATTTGCCTTGAGATTCAACATCCTGCCATAAATTGTGTTTTTATCTTTCTTTGTTCAAGGGGGCCATCTTTAAAGTGTCACCACTGTATTCAAGGTTATTAGAACAAATACCCTTACTGTAGGTTAGGGAAAACATCTTAGATGATTAAAGCTGATTGAATTACAGGAATGTGGAGTACTGGTGACTTTTTCTGCTCATTCTGCTTATTTGATATAGGCCATATGGCTTGCACATGAGGACACAGTAAAACCAGTTAGATTTTGTAGTATTTTTTTTTTTCAGTCTGGAGACTTTGCAGTTGCTTCAGGAGAGTATTTGTTTAAATCCAAACCAAGTCCTGCTGCTGGCCCCCCCTGCTCCCTCAGGTGCGAAGGGCTGAGTTGGGGCAGTGAAGCGTGAAATGGACTCCTCATGGGGTGATGGACAGGAGTGTTGAGGTCCATTTTGGTAAGGGCTCTGGTCAGGGCTCTGGGTGCTGCTGAAGTCAGCCGTTCTTGCTGCAGCCTGAAGTCTGCTTGACTTGGAGCCAAAGACCTCCAGGGAGAGAGGTCCAGCACCTGAGTTAAATGCACAGAGACCTGAAAGTTAATTTTTAGCAATATAATAGAAATTAAGGTGTCCTGAATAACTGGGGGTGGGGGTGTTGATTAGACGATGCTGGTTTACATCCTTGGTCCCTGTTGATGAAGGGAGGTTTGAACGAGGGGTGCCGGTCTGGGCACTTGCCCTGGAGTCTGTTTTCAGAAGAGGCACAGTGCAGTGATTTAATACAGAGTATTGTTTAAGGAGGCTACGAAAACAGGGTTTCAGCAAAAGATACAGAGGCACTTTATTGAAGCAACAGTGAGGCAGACAGCTTTTCAATTGATTTTTATCAAAGCACTTGCAGTTTCCATTCAAGGCTGTGAAACTGATAATAAATATGGTGGACAGACTCTGTTTTTAGAGCTGCTGTTTTGTGTTTTAGTTTCAAAGTCTGTGCAATGTATAGGTGATAAAAAGCATAAATGTCTGGAGAACACAGGGAAGAAAGAAGTGTTGTAGGAGCCCTGAGAAGTAAGGAAGTGACCCTCTTTTTTTTTCTTTTTTTTTTTTTTTTAATGAGAAAATGCCTCAGCTTGGAGGGGTGTATGAACACCTTTTATTTTCCTTTTCATAAGAAGCACTCAAGACCTTCCTGCAGGTTTCTTGTATCTTAAGGGGTTTATGAGTCTTAGGAAAAAAAGGGTTCTAAATAAATGAG